CGGGGGGGGCGGCGCGGGGGTCCCCCTGCGCTGCATGGTGCCGAGGGGCCAGCGGCTTCCCTGCGTCAGATGGACTTTCTGCTCCCTGGACTGCGCTAACGGTCCTCGAGCTATGGCCTGACCCATCGCCCTGCACAACTGGAGCGCTGCTGGACGCTCACCGGGGCTGCGCACGAGGGTGCTGGTATTTCTGATTGCTCTTGGAAAGTCCGGACATCTGCGGGCAGTATTTGTCCTAGGGTTGCACCATGCTGATGGCTAAGACCACGTTGTGATTAACCTCGCTCCCCCAGGTCTTTCTCCTCCCTTGTTCTTTATAACAGAAAAGCCTGCAGCGAAGTCTCAAAATTCTTGTCAGGGGTCTGCGTGCAAACTTTCTCTTTAACTGAGGGAAGGGAAGGGAGGAGAAATGAGGTTTGGAGGTTAATTCTGGCAGCATCAGGCATGAGAAAGATCAAAAACTCAGGGCAGGAGCACAGCAGAGGAGGGAAGCTGTTGCTTGCATGCTCCTGAAACCCCCTCGACAGTCCTCTTTCATGCATACTGCATGTTATTCCTGTACCTACTTAAATTAAAACCAGCCTTGTCTTGTGGGTGCTGACTGGAGCCAGGCAATTCTTTTCCCCGGGGAAGAATCCAATTTTCACTCCCTGTAGGTTGTGTTTTTGACCTGGAGTGACTCTTTTTTTTTTTTATTTAACAAATGCTCCCTCCATATCTTGTACCGTGTTGCACTTCTCACGATGGTGCCGGTGGTGCCACAGCAAACGCGCGTTCCACGTCCGGAAACGAGACATGAGGAAATGCTCAGCTGCGCTAACGCTGACTGCGCTGCGGGGCTGAGCTGTGAATCAGCCCAAAAGAGCAGCAGGTTTCGTGGGCAGCGCAGGCGCGGGCAGCCCCGGCCGCCTGCGGGGAAGGGGAGCTGGGTCCCAGCCCACTTCTGCATCCTTTAGGTCAGAGCCCAGAAATGCTGAGGACAATTAACTCCCTGGAGCTGGAAGTGACGTAGCAGCCTGGGGAGACACCACGGCTGTGCAGCTGGGAAGCCGCTGGCCACCCCCCGTCGCCCG